TCCTGCCTCACAGCTCTCGCCCTTGTTGTTTGTTTTTTTTTCCTTTGTGTATATGTGGCAAAATAAACATAGCAAAATTTACCATTTTAACCCGTTTTAAGTAAGCTTAGTGACTTTACGTACACGACAGCTGAAGTTGCCATCTTTATCCACAACTTTTTCACTTTCTCATACTGAAATGTTGTACCCATTCCTTCACCCCCTTGTCTCAGTCTTGGTAGCCACCAGTCTACTTTCTGTCCATATGGATTTGGCTATTCTAGTATACTCATATGAGTACACTCAAGCCACATTTGTGCTTCTATATCTTCTTATTTCACATGATATTTTCTAGGTTTGTTCCTGTGGTAGTATGCATCAGAATCACATTTCTTTTTCAGGGCCAAGTAATATTCCTCGGCATATATTTGTGCCATTTTCTCCTTCCTCATTCATCTGTCATTTTGAATATCATCAACATTTTGTTGTTTCTATCTTTTAATGATTGTAACTAAAACTGCTATGATCATTGGGCACAAATATAAATTTGAGGTTTTGCTTTTTAACATTTTGGGTATACATTCTACCTAGAGGCAAAATTGCTAGACATCAGGGTAGTTTAGTTTTCTGACATACTGCTATATTGTTTTCTATAGGGGAAATTTGCCATATTTTACCTTCCCACCAACCATGCACTGTTGAATTTCTCCACATGGTACCCCAAAATTATTTTCTTTCTTTCTCTATAATAGCCATCTTAATGGGTATGAAGTAGTCAGACCGTTTGATTTCGCCACTGGTGCACTAACCCACCTCTTTCAGTGACAGTTGACTATATCTTCTTCAGATATGCCAAGGGAAGCTTTTATTTTCTGCTCTGGGGTTTCTCTAACACCATGGCAAGGGCACCTGTAGAACCACTAGGCGTTCTGCTCCTACCTTAAGAACTAACCAGCTATCAATAAATTTACCTGGTAGACTCCTCCCGGCAGCAGTTTTCCTTTCTTCCCTCCTTACTCCGCCCTCTTGGCTTGGTGACTCCCACACATCCTTTAGCACTCAAATGTCACCTCCTCAGAGAAGCCCTCCTAGGCCACCACCCCTCCCCCATGGGAGGCTCTCACAGCGTCTTCCTCCTGGCACAGTTTGTCATGATATGGTTATCAGTGTTGCCTTTGGATTAACCCTGTCTTTCCCTCTGGGCCACACATACAGCTCCCGCGATCATCTTGTTCACCACTGATTCTTGGTCCTACCACGATGCCCAGCCAGAACAAGGCATTCAGGAAGCCTTTATTGAATGAATTATGTTGCTCAACATTTAACACACTTTGATGGAGCGCCTGTTCTAGAAGTGAGGATAAGACTCGTACAGGACTTAAGTTCTAATTAGAGAAACAAGTAAAGATAAATAAGCAAAGACAAAATATACATGGTGGTGATGGCTGGGGTGGAGATAGGACAGGAGAAGTGCCATTGCACCGAGGTCATTAGGGCGGGCTCTGGCGAGGCTGCATCAGGGACCTAGAGGGAGTAGGTGGACTACTCTAGGATCCGTAATATGGGAAACAGCCTTTAGGCAGTTGGAGTAGCCACAGCAAAATGTGGCTACTCTACCCTGCCCCGGGCAGGGCAGAGGAGCAAGAGGAATGTCCCCAGGCACTGGGCACTACAGACAGCTTTGTGGAGACTGCAGAGTGGACTCAGGCCAGGACACTCTGGAGGAAGGGGGAGGTGCAGCAGGAACCTAGAAAGGACCTTTGTGTCACTTCCTCTCCCCAGTCACCCCTGGCAGACCTTAGCTCACATGCTCCTGTAATTCCCAGCATTCCTGATTCAGGGCTAAACACATAGTAGGTGCTTTTCAGATAGACCTAAACCTATTCAATAGACTGGCTAATAGATCCCCCCACACACCCCTTTTGCTATGACAAAGCAGGCCAAGGACAAGTATATATTTATTGGATGATACTGCAAAAATACATTTGTGTTTAAACTTATATCCACTTGCTTCTTCCTCAGTACCTCTGGCTGTCTCTGCTGTGGTAATAACTTTAGGAGTAATCCTCTTTTAAAAAAAAAAAAGATTTATTTATTTTATGCACACAGAACTGGGGTGCAGGCGAGAGGTGCAGGGGCTGAGAGGATTTATCAGAGACAGAGTAGGGAGCAGAACAGGCAGGTTGATGCAGTACACTGCTGAGGGAGCAGCAGGTGGGTCAGGAGAGGTCTGCTGTGCCATGTGGGTCACCTCTGAGGCAGGCAGGGATCGAACTCATGTTTAAGTGGCTGCAGCCAGCTTGCATCCTAACCCGATGCGCCACCAGGGAGGACCCAATCATCTTTTCAATTTATAAAATGTTCCCCCAATTACTATCTCAGCTGAGTCTCCAGGCAACTTTGAAAGCAGACACTGTCCCTGGGCCAGAGCATCCAGACCACAGACTCGGCCAACACTCAGGTGGACATTGTCACCCTCATTCCACAGATGGGTTTAGAGAGAGGATATCACCAGCCTGAAGTATGCCGGCGAGGCCTAGGGTCCAGCTCTAAAGCTGGGTCTCAAGGTGCTGGATCATCAGTTCCCCCATGGAGGTCCTGGTCTCCTGTGAACACACTCAAACCGGGGTGACCAGCCTGTGCCTGAGCCTCCCTGGGTGCAGACACTCAAGTCTTTGATCAGCCACATCGCTGTTCAATTTCAGAAACCATCTTACCCAGGGCCAGTGCCCACTCAAACAGCGCCCGTCCTCCCAGCAGCTGGGATGGACACCGAGCACCAAGCTGGAGCTGTGGGGCAAAGGGAGAAGAAACAAGCTGTGCTGACATCCTGGTGAGGGCGACTCCTGGGCTGGGGCTGGGGGGCCTGGTCCCTTTGCTTTCACTGTGTCTCCCGGAGGCCTGGGCCCCTTTGGCCTGATCCTAGAGTCAGGATTTCTGTCTCCTACTTTCTGGCAACAACGGGTGGAAGGAGTGTCCATCCCGGCCCGAGCTGGGCATTCATCTCTCCCACCTCACCTGCCTGGCACTTCATGCTCTGTCCCTCAGTTGTTCGTTCTGATCCCATCACCACTGCTGCTGAACACTGCAAGCTCACAATAAAAACGCTCATTCTCTGACCCGAAGGGGTTCACATTCCTGTGGGGGGAACTGCCAGCGTGACCACACTCAGGCCGCATGGCCAACAGCAATCAGTCACGGTCAGCAGGAGGCACAGGGGCCACCAGGGGACATGGGTCCAGAGGGGGCTGTGAGAAGAAAGAGGGCTTCCAGGAAAGGCTTTCTGGAGGAGGTGCTCCCTGCCCAGGCTGGATTTCTGCAGAATTAGTAGGAGACTATTTTAGGAAGAGTTTTTGGGCAGGTGATTTCACAATATTGTAAGCACCACAGGGTAAGAATTTTAGTCTGTTTCATGACCTAGTGCCTAGAGTAGTGTTTGGCATATAGTAGCTGCTCAATAAATATGTCCTAAAAGAAAAAAAGAGTGGGAAGGAGGGAATAGAGACAGGGAGATAGATAGCAATAAACAGGGAGAAAGGATGGGCAGGCCCAGGGTTGGACATAGTGTTTTCTGGAAACTGAAACTGCAGAAGCTCCAGGTGGCTGCAGCTTGAGTGGGAGGGGCTGCCCTTCCCTAATCCTGTACTTGATGGTGTCCATTCCTCATCTCCCAACTAGGCAGACTTGGTTTGGCGTTTCTTGGGGATGGGACCATGTCTTCCTCTCTAGGACCCTGTGGTCCTGGAGCATGCATGGAGTGTTAATAAACACACAGGTACTGAGCCTGGGCCGGATGCTGGAGACATGGAGATGACTCAGAGTTAATTCCTGCAAACTTCCCCCCACCTCAGTCTGGCTGGGAGACAGACAGTAAACAAATGGCTACAACAATGGGCAGAAAGAATAGAAAGCTATTATGGAGGTTCAAGCAAATTGAGACCAAGCAGAGGGATAAAAGGACGGGGTTTGCACCAAAGGTGAGAAGTAGGGAGGTTTTCGTGGAGTAGATGGGCTTGCAGGGGACAATAGTCTTAAAAGTGACCAAAGAAGGAGGTTCTGGGCAGCAGGCATACCAGCCAGAGAGAGACACTGAGCCCAAAGATAGGGTTCGGGAAAGGTGGGGACTGTGGGACCCCTTTTTCTTGGGTCCCAAGATGCTTTTCTTGGGTGTATGGATGTGCTCCTCATCTGACTGCAATTTGGATCTTTTCAGCAGCAGCTGCACACCTGGTTGGGGCTGATGACTGATCCTATTTCCTGGGGACCCATAAGCTCCCTTCTCTCCAGCAGGCTGGGAGAGGGGATTTTAAGACACCCCTTCTGCTGTTCTGATCTCTCCCACTGACTTTTTAAAGATTTCTTTCTTTATGCATACAGAACTGGGGTGCAGGCCAGAGGTACAGGGGCAGTAAGAGGCTTCACCAGAGACAGAGTGGGGAGCAGAACAGGCAGGTTGATGCAGTACACTGATGAGGGGAGCAGCGGGCGGGCCAGGAGACATCTGCCGCGCCATGTGGGTCAGCTCCGGGGCCAGGATTGAACTCCATGCTGAAGCAGCTGCACCTAGCTCTGTAGTGCACCACCAGGGAGGGCCCCTCCACTGACTTTTTAACCTTCACCATGAACCTACCAAAGTGGGGCCTCATTCTGTGTTAAACCCCAGCAAAGAGCAGACCACAGGAACAGCTAGTGTGTCAGGCACAGGTCTCTCAAGGGGCTACCCCTCTCTTACACACATGCTTAGGAAGGAGGTGCTAGTCCTTTTTGGAGGGTGGGAAAGAAAGATGTAGCAGGAAAATCTGTATCAGACGCTCAAGAACTATTAGAGTTCTAGTAACTCCCTCTCCCAGTTGACAGGTGAGCAACTCCATGGGGATTTGCTTGAGCTGCAGTCCTCTCACCCTGATAGGGCACAGCCAACTTGGTAGAGAATGAGAAGCAGGAGCGCCAGGGAAGGGCAGGGTTTTCCTTCAGCCAGGACCTAACCAATACTCATCATTCGTGGGCCTTGCAAACCCAAGATGAGTCAGGCTTCTGTGAGTCAGTCTGTTGACAAGCCATCCCTGGCCATTCCTCGGCCATTGAAAAATAGAAGTCCAGGGGAAGGGTATGAGGAGGCCAATTTAATTAGTGTGGGCTCTAAGGTACGTTAGGTTAGCCCTATTAAATTAAAACGCCTGGGGGAAAAAATAACTGTAATTATTTCCTTCTCTCCCCTATCGTTGTATTTCAACTCCCTCCATGCTTGTCTCATTCACAAAACCTTTAAACTATGGGCTAGCACGTTGACAGCCATAGCCTGTGTTTCCCTTTTTCTGTCTCCTCTTTCCCTGTGAGCTCTCAGTCCCGAAAGAGCAGAGCGTTTCCAGAGACGGCTGTAGGGCCTGGCTGTATTCTAATTTAGGGAGGCTGTTACACTGAGTAGAACATTATTCCAAAAATGCACCCAGTCGCCTTCCTGAACCAATGCAGATCCGTTTGCTGCGGGGCATTTCTTTTACAAGCCCCTTTTCTCTCTTCTGCTGATCAAAATAAGCAAACTTTAACGGTGGGGAATTATTCTTTATTTTGTTGAAATCTAGTTCTGAGTTTTCCTACTTGAAACGTGTTTTCCCCAGGACACTGACCTATCCTTTAATTGTTTGGTGCGAGGCATGTTAGGGGGAGGGGCGTTACTTGTTTATTGGAACAGCGCAGTTAAAAAAAAAAAATCAACCTAGGCTAACAGTTTCAAGGCTCCCCTAAAGATGTATCCAAACAGGCAGCCAATCAGCGCTTACACAGCTTTTTCTGCTAGACTCTTTTAAAGAGACAGTGCCGACAGTGTTTTATCACATTTAAAGAGAACCGCGCTCTAAAAACAGTCTGAAAATGGGGGAGTCTTCCCCTATTTCTCTGCTCTCTGATCGTAAGCATCTCTAATGAGGGTCACACGCGGTGTGCGCGGGATTCTTGACGTGGACAAAAAAAGAGTCTGCAGCAAATAGCTGGGTCACTCTGCCAACCCCCCCCCCATTTTCCCATTGTACACCTGGGTCACTGACAATGGAAGCTTCCCCTCCCCCTACGCCTGACTCTCGTCCCCACTCCCCAATTTAGCTCCATTTATTTGAAGTTTGCAGGTTTCGGTGGCGCGCGTTCCGCGTTGCGGGGCGCCTAGGTGACGGCCCCCCTATGAAATGGCCCCGTCTCCCGTGAAGAAGCCAGGGGGCTAACTTGCCGGGGTTGACAATCCTTAGAAATTTAGGAGCAATCACTCTGCTTCCCTTAGCCTAAGTCTACCGTCCCCTTCCCCCAGACTCTCCGAAGCACGCCGAAGGCCATTTCGCGCGGCTCCCACTTTGGGGTTTTCCAAAGTATTTTAATGATCTAGTAAAGGAGCGGCCGCGCGCCTCGGCGCCGGCTCCGGCACCCCAGCTCGCAGCGTGGAGCCGGGTGCCCGGCGCTCGGAACCCAGACTGGGCGAAGAGGGAGGATCGGGGGGCGGGGCGGCCGGGGCCGGGTAGAAGTCTGGGGAGAGGTTCGGGGTCGCAGCCCAGGGGTAGGGCTGGGAGGGGGAGGTGAGGGCTGGGCCGGCTCCGGCCGGGGCGGGGGGAAGTGAGAGGCTACGGGAGAAGGACGTGGCGGGAGGGAACCCGCGGCGCCCTGCTTAAGGGGTCCGCGCCCCCTCCCCTCCCACGCTGCCGCAGAGCCCCCCCCCACTCCCGGTCCCCCAGTGGTCCACACCGTGGAGAGCGCTGGTGGAACCCCGCTCCTCGCCCGGGCCGTGAGACCAGAGCACCCCCGCCCCATCCCGATTCGTGTCTCTTCCCCACATCTACTGAAACGAGCGGCTCGCGCCCCCGCACACCCCCAGTTCGTCCGCAGGAGCAGGGGCAACGGGTCCGTGGAGGCGGCCACAGCGGGGACTGGCGCGGCCGGGCGCTGACAGGGCGTCCCTCCCGGGCCGC